TTTAAGTTCTCAATTAAAACGAGTTTGTGAGATATTTTATCACTGTATAGTCAATCGTGCAGATAAATAGAAATTCATAAGAACCTATTAGAATCTCTCACCTTGCCAGTCTTGACAAATTGTTCACAGACCCTGCGATTTCTTCCTCCATAACAAGTAGTAATCAAATCCGCGATGCCGCAGCTCTCGAAGAATGTAGAAAGCTTAGAACCGCTGTAGAAAGTATCGACAAACTTGACCATCTCCATCAATCCTAATCGAATCACTGCAGCTTTCGTGTTGTCGCCCAATCCGAGGCCGTCTACGAAACCAGCTGCACACGCCACAATGTTCTATAACCGAAATATATTCAGTTTGATAAACTAATGAGCGAAATGGAATAAAAAGTTGTAGAAATGTCAATTAACAAGATCATGAATGCAATAACAAAGCAGTATTGAGAAAAATACAAGTATTATTTAAATATATACGAAATCAATAAGATAATTCGTAACATAAAACTTTCTTTGAAAGTGAATTACTTGCCTTTAGAGCTCCACATACTTCCACAGTCTCGCAATCCTCCACAACAACTACTCGAAAGTTTGGAGTTTGAATAAGATTCCTCAGTATCGGTGCCAATCTTTTGTCCTTGCACCCTATAATTTTATATTTTTTATTTCTAATCTTTGAATGATACCTTGATGAAAAACATTTTCACAATAATTTGCTAACATATTTTTAATAAAGAATATTTATTATTTTAAATTTATAAAGATTTTTGAAAAAATACTTTAAACTTTTTTAAATTTTATAAGATTTTTTCAGAAATTATACAATGAGACATTCTAGAATATTTCGGAATTTAACTATACAGAGTGTCCCAAACCACCTAAACAGGATAAAGTCTAATCAAAAATATAACAGAGTTTTATTTAATAAAAAAGTTTAGGATTTTACGAATTCTTTGCTTTAAAAATACAGAAATTATATAAGGAAATATAATTTGTGTTTTTAAAGCAGAGAATTTGTGTTTTAAAGTAAAGAATTTATGTTTGTAAAGCAAAGAATTTGTATTTTTAAAGCAAAGAATGTGTACGTACTTAAAAATACTTACCGATCGTGGTTTCACAGAATTTCTCCTCGGCAACTTCATTGGCCAAGTTGGCGCCCATTAAAACGTTGCATTGTATTCTCAAATGCTTCTCGATGATCTTGGAGATTAACTCAATACTGTTTTCTTCACCTCGACCAAAACCCTTCAATTCAAATTGACTAACTTACTCTAAGAGCATGAAAACAAAAAAAGTTACAACATACCTTAATGAGAGAAAGGCCAACTGCAGTCGGTTTTATATTATCCAATAACGTTGAACACAACGTGCGAATAAACTGATGTGGCAAAACGAAAATGAGAATGTCGGCATCTTTTGCTGCCTCCACAACGTCGGGCACGGCAACCTGAAAGAATATTCAAAAAATTTTATAGAAATTGACCAGCATTTTTGTAAATTTGTTTCGTTTCAAAATAATTCGATAGATTATAAAGAGACATTACCCATACAGCACAGAAGATTGAAGCAATATTGCTGCGATGTTACAATATTGAAGATTGCAATGTAACATTGCAGAGATATTACGGAAATATAAATTAATAATATGCCTGCAAAATGTCAATATGCTTGTAATATTCCATAAACATTGCAAAACTGTAATTCTTTAATTGTTACAATAATAATAATAATATAAAAATATAAGTTTTTACAATATTTATGTAGTACAGTCTTTTAATTTAACAGTCGTTTTTATGATATAATAATTAATATAATCTATTTTATATTCAAATAAAAAATTTATTGATCTATTATTTGACGGCCATTTCATTAGTTAAGTTTTATATTTATTTTAAATATGAAATCAAAAGATTGTATAATATCGAGTTTGGATACAATAAATGCATCATTATCGTGATAAGACAATAAGCAATTAAGCTGCTGAAAACATTATCGAAATATTAATTATGTGATCGATGATGTATTTATGTCTAATGTGAACGTAAGGATAAACCAGCGCCCGAACTTTATTGGTAAATTTCATACCGTCATTTTTTAATCGATTTCAATTGACTCGGAGTGGTTTCGAATTAAAAAGAATCACTGCGATTAACTTAATCCATGATTAACTTATCAAGCGACTGTATTATTATATTAATGTGGATAATATTTGTAGTTTGTTCGGGATACACACATACGTGCTTTATCCTTACAAATAAATTTATCCTTCAGAATTAATACTATATTTATTGGAATATTTTATGGTTTTATCATAAAAAATTGCTTTTGGAAAGCACATATCACTAGAAATGCGATTTGTAGAAAAATTAAAGTGAGATATATGTATAGAAATAGTTTTCATTTTAGAGTTTTCGTAAAAAAATTATCCAAATACATTACATTGCAACATTGCTGGAACATTTTGTTGCAATATAACAAAAAGCAGACATCTATCTTAACATTATTGAAATTTTGTAACAATGATTCAGCAACGTTTCGCAATCACCACGTAATAT